GGGGGGAACGAAACACCAGCTGGAGCCTTTGCCGTGCGACCAGGGGCTGCTGGGCGTTTAGGAGTAAAAGGAATGAATGGCAAGTTGGTTTATGATTCCAGTTATTGTATAAACGCCTCGCTGAGCTAAGGGCTCAGTTTGGGCTTAGATTACAGGTAGCTGTATTTATTTTTTTTTTTTTTTTTTCCAAGAGACCTTAGAAAATCAGAAAATGGTACCAGGAGTCACTTTGCCCAAAGTTTAGATCTTTTCTGATATGCTAAAGCTGATGACGAATATTATATATGCTTACCAAAACTAAATTAAAAAAAAAAAAAAAAAAGAAGTCAGTTTAGACAGGAAGCTAATTCTGAGCATTCACAATTTAAAAAGTATCTAAAAATGCCTAATGTCCTTTATGTCAGCAACACCAGTGCAAAGAGGAGGAAAGAAAAGGCTGTTCCAAGTGTTCACGCGGGTTGGTTTTATTTCTGTTTGGACCAAAACAAATTATGAACGAGTAGAACAGAATAAACGAAATAGCAAATACAAGAAAGATCATCTCTGTGCATTTTTCCTGGGAGATATTCTAAGTGTGAACTGAAGGAGTCGCTAGATATCCTTGCTTTTAACACTAGGTGTTCTTTTTAAAGTGCTCCAATAGTCAAATCGTCTGATTGAATTCCCTGCTAGACTGCAGAACTAGCCATTCATGATACTTATTTTTGACACTGCAGTTATGCTTCCATCTTAAAGAAAAAAAAATCAATGATGTTTAATAATCCCCTCTCAGAATGTACATTTCTTTTCATCAGCTTTTTACAGTGTTTTAAGTAAATGCGTGCAGAGGAAATCAGTAAGCCATAATGATAAAAAAGTTACTGTGAATTGCTACCACTTTTAGGGATACAGAGCACCAACATTACAGGTTCTAAAGTAAATGCTGCTGTTACTTATTTACATGTCCACAGTACACACATGTTATTTTAGAATAAACTCACCTCTGCCATGCCCTGCTTCTGATAGATTCCACAGAGTGTTCTCATTAGCTTGGCTTCATCGGTATTTATTTCTGTAAAGTCAGGTTTGTTCTGCGTTCATCTGTATGTATCTGTGGGGGAAGTATCTCAGTGATATTTTCTTTAGTAATAAAAGGCAGGGAGGGAGATAAAGGAGACAAAAGATGTCTGTAGGCAGAATGTAGAATAAAATGAATTCATTTTGCTGGTGGGGACTGGGAATTATCTTTTAATATTTGTAATAAACCTTAAGTAGGTTCAGCAAAAGCTTCACTTGGATTGCAGAGCCTGACAGTCCTGGTTCAACGTATTTTAATGGATACAGGCACACAACTAATTCTAGTTCCAAGGAAAATCTGAAGTGGTCCACAAAGTGAGTTTATCTTCTTTGGAACACCTGGCCAAAAGACAAAAGTCTGTGGCTGCATTTGCAGATACAAACTCAGTATCCCATTATCAAACTGGGAAGTGCTATTGTTCTCACTGAGGACTGCAAAATGACAAACTACATAGATCTCTCAGTACAGGGAGGAACAACAATATTTCCATAACACCAGCTTGAAAGGAAAGCGGAATGCAAAATAAGAAGGTGGCATAATAAAGTGGAAAACATAAACTAGTAAATCCCCAAGTTCCTTTATTTTAAGCAACACTGCGATTTCAAGCAAGTTGAGCGAAACAGGTTGTGCATTCAACAAGGCTGTGCTAGTGCTGCCGATTCCTGTTTCCCTTGCAAAAGCAAAGCTGGTGCTCTGTAAGCTCTGGGTCCGGAGCAAGTTCCTAAGGACAGTCAGTATACAAGCCATCACATTTGCCCTGTTCCATACATTAACGTGAGTAACACTTAGTGGACATAAATATCATTATTATTTATTTATTTATTTATTAGCCTAAACGTTACTCTGATAACCTGCATGACTTTATTGTCAGCCTCCTCTTTCACATCTCCAAAGCTAAGTGATTTCGACCCAGGCAGTCAGCTATTAAAATGCATGAATTGATTTTTACACGAGCGATTCCCTTCTTCTCCCCTGTAGCCCCCTCCCTCCCGCTACGGACCCTCATAGCTATTGTTCAGAACAACTGAAATACTACTAATAATTAGAAGCATGTAAATAAAACCGAGCTGTGTTTTTTTTTTGTTGTTTTTTTTTTTTTTTTTTTTTTTTTTTTTTCCTCCGACAACGCTAGGCGATCGGATCGGTTGCATAATAGAAATTGGGAAGGCTGCCTGGCAGGGAGCCTTAAGAAGAGAAGAGCTATCTCAATTTCTCTCACTTAATCTTGGCTCGGCGTCAGGAGCTGTGCAGCAGTGCAGTAGGATGGGAGCACGGCAAAAGCTTCGCCAGTAAAAGCGGCTGGTGCTCATTGACTCTCGCTATGTGGCGATACCTCAGCGGTTTCTCGAGCCGGATTACCTATTGATTTTCCTCCTTTCTCGCCTCCCAGGTTTACTCGGCTGGACATTGTGTGTGTTTGGATTTCTCAAGGATTCTTCCCCCGACTAACATGGATGTCCCACCATTCCTTGCAGTTGAAGGTTGCTCCTTGGCGCAGTGAATGAAGAACATGCAGGGATTGCTAATGGGTTTGGGAAGCGTAGAGTCTCTCCTCTCTCTGTGACCATGCCGTGATCGTGTCTGAGGGCCATCAGTTTACGTATCCTCATTCTCACCCTACCGGGAAACCTGACGGCTTAGAAGGGGGAAGTAAGGCAGCGCGTGTGTGCATAGAAACATCATGAAGATTATTTCCCGTATTCTAACTAATCCAGTCTTCAGATGCACCATTAGACTCCTTCTTTGCTTACTGTGGATTGGATATTCTCAAGGAACCACACATGTGCTAAGATTTGGTAAGATTTCCGACACTTTTTTTCATTGTGCGTTTAAGCCTGAACGCGATCTACGTGGGATTGACTCAGAAGGGGGTGTTGGGGGAGAGCTGGGACACGCTGCCGGACTCAGGCACCGAACTCCCTCTTGATTTTTGCATCCGGAGGGATGAATCGCTGTGTGTTTTTTCCTGTCGCTGCAGCTCATTGTAGCCGTAGTAACGGCACGATGATGATGATAATTATAATAACAATAGAGAGAAAGATGACTGGCAAAAGCGTTTGCCTAAGGCTCCGCGCAGCTTGCGTGGCTTCCTCATAACGTACCTTTTTTGTTTCCATAGTAGTGGCAAGCGTGGCTAATGCGGTGCTCGGTCAGTTAAAAATCTGTCAACTAGTTGTTAAGTTTCGGCCGCCCGTCTCTGGACCACGAGCCCATCCCCTGTGAGAGCGACGCTGTGATTTGAGACCTTTGGGTTGATTTCCCTTAAAGCGTCTCCCTAGTTGCTCGCCACTTCGGTGGCGTTTAGGGTTAGAGAAGAGGTGATTTGTGTCTTAAAAGGTGGTCGTGAAAGAGCCTTTGCGGTACGTTTGAAAACCACAGCTTTTCTACGCGAGGAAAGTTGTATCAGTCCGTTCCCCTCCCCGCCCCTCCCTCCACCCTGCCAACAAGAAAAAAAAAAGCTGGGAACAGTCCAAACCTCGACAGCTGTTTCACATCTCTGTCTTATTAAGGATAGGGAAAATGGGATAAGCCATGGTTATGGTATTACATAGGTCAGCTATGATGCATGTAAAGACATTGGTATTTTTCGACTCGCAGACAAAGAGACACTGTCATAGGAAAAAAAAAAAAAAAAAAGAGACGAGTCACAGAACAGACTGAAATTTCAAGGAGAAAAGGTTTTCCAGTTTAAAGACTATCCCAGCTGAACCACGAAACTAATCTTAACAGCTGTGTCTGTGTATGAGCGCGGGTGTACGTGTGTGTAAGAAACCAAGCGAGGGAGGAACTGCAGCCCCTGCATTCCCTACAGAAGTTTCGCAGTCCGGGAGGGCAGGGCGGAGACCAAAGTTCGCCCCTCGCCCGAGGGGGTCTGTGCGGGCCGGGGAAGCCCTCCGTGGCGAGCCACAGCGGGAGCCCCGCGTCCCCCGAGCCGCCCGGGTACCGCGGGTAGAGCGCGGCGCCCCGCGGGAGCCGCTGGCGGGAGCGGCGGGGAGGGCAGGCCCAAAGGTGCTTCCCCAGGCAAGAGGCATCCTCCGTGCCTACCGAGCGAGGGGCTCCCGCGTTCGCGCTGTAGCAGCCGCTACATCCATTTCTGTGGGGCACTGAAAGCTCTTGTCTTCGCCTGGGAGTAGTGGCGTGGTTTGTATCTGATTTTGTTTAAATTCCACCCCCCGCACACACTTTTATGTGGAGGGGAAGGTGGGTAATGATTAAAAAGTCACGGATCTCGTGTGCTGAATTCCTAGTAGTACTTATTTTCTGCTTCCATCTGGTCTAAAGGTGGTGCTTAAGGCATGTTGCTCTTAGCAACCGTCTTCAGGAATGCTTGGTTCTTTGGACATGGCTAAACGGGTCCGTATATCATCGCGGCGTTTATATCAGTCTGATCCATAATCATGGCCGTGAAATCAGTGCTAGGGCTGCCTGTGATCTGGCAGTGTCTGTCTGTCTGTCCTTCCGCGAACCGGGGTTGGGTCTCTAGGAGTCGGAATGACTTTCAAGGGTGGCTGTGTAAACAAACATCTTCCCGGCCGCGCCGCTGGCGAGAGGCTGGGCTTTCCTCCTTTGGATTAGCATTCTCTCTGGATTGTGAGGCCAGTGTCCCCGCAGAGATAGCCCTGGGGGGCAGCAGTTTGGTTATGGTTAGAATAATAAGTAATCCGGAGACTGAAGGGTCTCGGGACTCCGGCGACCAGTGCCAGGGTCTCGCCGGGCTGTGTTTTCTGGGCTGACTTCCCTGCCCAGGGGCTGCCTCCTGCTCCCGCGGTCGGTTCTTTGTAGCAGCGAAGTGTGACTCCGCTTCTGAACCGCCGCCTGCTTTTTCTCGTCTTTCAAAAGAACTGTCGCCGACCCATCTCTGGGGCTTACAAATAGGTAGGGAGCAGTTGGTTAGTTTATTTTACCATGGAAAAATGTTAGACGTAAGAGAGCGAGGAAGACTTTTACCCTGCTCGGCCGGGCCTGTTGCACATCTGTGTTTGAAGGAGTCTGGGTTTAGCTCAGTGCAGGTGAGGAGTGACTCTGACCGCGGAAAAACACCTGCTCCTTCCCCAGGGGCTGACACCTGGGTAGGGAGGGCCCGGCGGGGAGGAGGGGAGGGAGTGAGCTGTGGAAAAGCTTGGGTTGTTTTTGAGTGGGGAATTCCCCGCCGCTCCCCCCGCGTTCCTCTGCTATCTGTCCCTTCGGGATGTCCTTGCCACCAGGAGGACGGGATCCTGGTGCCTTCCCGTGGAGTCCTTCACGAGGAGAAGCGAGAGCTGAGGAGATCCCCTCCAGAAGGCAGCCTGCCAGCCCCCGCTCTTCTCCCTCAGCCAGCAGCGCTATGGCAACAGGGGAGAGCTTGGAGCCTGCCAGAGCTCCAGCCCCCTCATTCCTCCTGTGCAAATTAACCACCATGGATTCGCATTGTCCTTCCCACGGCTTCCCTCATTGTTGGGACTAGCCGGCATGTCCTTTCTCTCTCTCTCAAGCTACCTTTTAGCTTGAGAATGTCGAGCCGCCTGGGTTATCTGTCAAACGCGGGAGGAGGGGGGGGGATATTTTTCCCCAGGCCTTATGGAGCTGACACACGGAGAGGCTGATGCGACGGCATAATTCCCTCCCCAGCAGCGCTCCCTCAGGCATCCGGCCGCCTGCTGATGGAGTAGGGCAACGTAGCATGTGGGTAGCCCTCCCTAAATGACGCCTTGCTTTGGGGCATGGGCCCAGCTCCCTCCCTTGCCCTTTCGGACTCGCTTCCCGAGAGCGAGCCCGGGACACGCTGCGGGTGAGGCTTGTGCCCACGGTACCCGGGGGTGTCAGACGGGGACAACCCTAAACCATTGCTGCGGATGAAAGGAGAAGTCCCAGCTTGACGAGGGAGAAAACCAGCAGCCGAGTATTTGTCTCCCCGCCGCGCTAAGTGTGATGGAAACCTTTTCCTTATCGCTTGGCACCGTGCAAAAGCCAAAATACGTGACCGCCGACAGACCCGCTCCGTTAGCAGGGATCACGTTTCGCAGCTTCCCCGTTCCCTGCTCCTGTGTGAGAGCAGAGCCGGGGCAGCGGCTCCCCAGAAACACCAACCAGCCCGGCAGATCCAGAGCCCAGCCCGGGGCCACACCGCCACATCACCTTTCCCTAGAGCCCCTCGCTTCTGCCTTTATCTCCTTGAGGGCATCCCAGCGCTTTGCCCTGCAAGGCCGAATTAACAAGCCATTAAGAGCTGTTAACCATCAGTAACTGCTCAGCTGCGTTTCTAAAAACCCACCCCTTCCCTTGCCCAAGGCGGTAAGAGGCCGGGCTGTTTAAAACCCTTATTTTCTTATCTACCTGGGGTGTGAACGTCAGTTCTTTGAAGCCTGGAGCACTCCAAAAAGCCCTCCTTTATTTACGTTGCCTGTTTCGGGCATTGTCTCTGCTGCCGCAAGCAGTTCGGCTTTCCTACAGCAAAGGTGTGGAGAGGGACCAGTGGCTGGAAGGTGAAAGCGCTTTGGCTACTGCATTTTCTCTGTCAGGTACCTCATTGTTTGTGAAAGTGTGGTGAGAGACTAAAGACCTCCACCGCAAGGGGCCACTGGCCTGATGTTTCCCTGTTTTGTGAGATACTTTGTTCGCTTCAGAGCATTCAAAAAGAAGGGTAAAGAAAAGTAGAGGCCCATGTCCGTAGTCTCGACTTCTTGTTGCTTTGGAGTTGCCTGGTTTCACACAGAGGAAGGGAGCTGAATGTTGCGGGTTATAAGGGAAGGGGGGTGTCTTCTTCTAGCTTAAAGGCAAAAGAAAGCCAAGAGAGATGGGAATCCTTTCTCAAAGAATGAAGGGGGAGTTTTGAACTCTTATCAGAAACATTTCCTACTACTGATGTCCTTTTTTTTTTTCTTTTCCCCCCTAAAACCCCCTCCACACCAAGCTCTTACAAAGCCTAGAGATTTCTTATTATCCTCCATAAAATAATAATAGTAATAGCAAAACAAACCTCTGTATGATCATGTCAGCTTTGGGACTTAAGAAAAAACAATCTCATTTCTCAACTCCATTGTGGGAACCCGGAGAGGGGAATCGCTATACACTGAAGTCTTCCTCCGTGAAGATTTAGCATGGGTTTCATCTGACATCCTTCTTGGCCAGGCTCCTTTAGCTCAAACAGATTGAGTTTATCTCCATAGAATTGTATTTACGAGCTCGAGCGTGGCAAAACCAGAGAAGATGCCGGCTCATTGCGTCCGCTGCTTGTGCACTTGCCAGTGAGTGTCGAGCCGCTCGTTTCTGGGTTTCAGGTGACCATTTTAACATAGTAGCATTTAAAAACAGCAAAAAATCATGGAAGAGCAGTGAGAGCTAGCTCTGTGCAAAAGGGTTTGAGGCAACAGTTCAAGTGAAAAAGAGCTGCTGGTTAATCATGTAGAGTTTTGCTAGGCTGGACCTGCGTTAGCTCTCCTGGATGTGCACTTTATTTCCTTGGAATTTCACGCTGGCACCCTTTTAAGAGGAAGGAGGTAACCTTTCTGCCTGTGTTTAAGAGAGAAACGAGAAAATGTACGTATCTGGTTTTAGTGGGGATGGAGGGATCAAGAGGGCGATGAAAATCTGCAAAATAAACACTTGTGGCAACCTTCAGAGGTCCGGGGCTTGGTGATTCCAGTATTTAGAGCCACTGAAAATTTTACTGCCAAGGACAAGAAGCTTTCAATATGTGTTAACATCTTCACCGAGAGGAGTTCAGAATCAGTCTTATAAACAACAACAGAAATCTTTGAAAGAAGAGTAAGGTTAAGAGCCTCGGGAAGGCAGCCCGGAGGTGAGAAGCATTGTTATT